TCTTTAAACGCGATCAGACGATCGAGATCAAATCGCGATGAACGGTTTAGATTCATTTTCTCTTTAAATACAATCGGACGGTCGAGATTAAACGTGATAAACGATCCAGATTAATGCGAGATGGGTATAAATATCTCATATCACACTGAACTCAAACCCTAGCCGCTAGTCTCCCACCGGAGAAGAAGAACTAGTCGTTGGAAAAAAGAGCCGACTACCGACCACCGCCTCACCGCAGCCACCTCCGACCGCCAAAAAAGCTGAAAATTCTCCTATCTGCTGTAAATTTGATTTTGAGTACCCCCATGGCCAAATTGGAGCAAAAGGAATGGTGGGTGAGCTGAAAACAGCGGCCAAAGCCCGATGGCGTCGCCGTGGGCAAAACCCGTAACCGCCTCCAACAGCCCCTTCCCAATTCCTGTTTCGTGCGATTTTTTCCACAATTATATTCACAGTTTTATTTTTTACAGCTTGACCGAAAAAAAATGCCTAGCTGCGAAGGTGAGTCGGTAAAGCCGCTGTACCAAAAAATTTCACCACTAGTAAGTTCCCGTTTATTTGACTTTTTCGGCCAATCGAGATCCCTTAATGTATTTTTTTGCACGTATGAGTATAAAACCGGCCGAAACCCACTAAAATTGGCCAAAAATAGCCAGGCCGTGGTAAACTACTGCCGTAGATGGCGGTGCTCTCGCCGAAGCACGATAGTACTGCCGCATCAAAATTCTAAATTTGGCAAAAAAAAATTTTAACATTGATTTTGGATTTTTTTTGGGTATTTTTAAGTACATGATGTGTGTTTTAATCTCCGAAAAAAAATTCGGGAAACCTAGAGATCGCCAATAAGTGCAATAGAAAGTTCAGTATTTCGGACACCGATTCGGGTAAGGATCCCTCACCTTATTCTCTGTTATGGAATTGAAACTTAATAATCGATAATACGGTATTTTGCATAATTTAGAAAACTCTGAGAATAATTACAAGTTACTAATGGAGGCAGAACCGATTAGTTATTTATTTATCCTGTTTAATTGATTGTTGAATTTATAGCTTTAAATACATGACGATATACTGGAATGGTTGAATGATTTAGTTGTGCTTCCTTTATATATATATATATTGTTTGTCTTATGTGATTTACGGTTGATTAGTGAAATTAAAAATTAATATACAAACGAAAAATTATTTGGTCATGTGAATTAATGAATGGTAGTCTTATTGAATATCCTGGGAGAGGATGGAGAAACTAGGTACATAGGGAACCCTACCATAAACGTTGCCTCATACCAGACAGGGTACTGAGAAATGATATTTTTGGCACTCATATCAGACGGGGTATGGGGATGACACAATTCACCCTCATATCGGATAAGATATTGAGAGATGGTATTTTTGTTGCTCATGTCGAGCGGGGTATAGAGGAATGGTATTTTTAGCGCTCATACCGGACGCGGTATGGGGACGACTAGTTAGTTGATAATGTTAGATATTGATTCACACGTAGTAGGACATCCTTACAGGCCCCTAGGGATACTAGTAGGCAAATAAAAAGGAAAAGTGATTGTTATTACTCACTTGAAAATGAGATTGAAATATTATTTGAGTTATTATCTCTATATGTCGATTTTGAAAATCTCACAACGGTAAATATATGTGATAAATGATTTTCTTTATGATAAATGAATTTACTTAAATCGAGAGCTCCATTGGTTGTTTTTATGATTTTTACCAACCTTCAGTTTCTGTATCGGTGAGTAGTGTGATATTCTTACTGAACTAGTGTACCTCACCCTTTCATTAACTATTTCAAATCAAGAGGATCAAGACCTAGATCTTGATCAACAAGAGAGTTGTGAATAAATTCATCGCCTATGCTTCCTTCAAAAGCCAGTTAAGGTTGTCCTAAAATACTTAGTTATTTTTCTTTTGTTTATTTCTTTAATTTTAATTTGTTCTTTCATAAGAGACATTTCTTTAACCTTATTGGGCATTCTAAATTATTATATAAGGAATGTAAACCCTAAATTCTATTATTTTGCTTCCGTATTTAATTTATGATTTTATTACCTTTTAAGTTCTTGGCTTTTACAGTTGGTATCAGAGTGACGTTTCTCGGAATCATTCCTTATACAAAAACCTAAGGAAACACAAAAAAATGAATTATTGCTCAATTGCTCTTTATGAAATGCAGGTACAGATAAATGAGGAGAGGAAGACCCCCATTAAACTGAGCAACCCCGGAGGGTTCATGTTGAGGGGATGTTGACCGACTCTTTGAAATGCTGGAGAGACTCATTTTTGCCCAGTAGACCCGGAAGAAAAGGAGGGAGCTACCTGACCCTCCCCCACTGCCACAGTTTGAGCTACCCCTACAGCGGGAGGATCCTAAGCCACACCAATACAACCTTACTTCTCCACAGTAAAATCCGGCACCACCATAGTATAGTCTGCTGCCCCAACCGCATCACCCGGTACCACCACTATATAATTTAGTGCCTCCACCATATCATCCAGTACCATCACAGGGCCATCCGGTCCCTTTCCAGCACAATCCAGCCCCTCTTCCACGGGATCCTGTTCTACCCATGATGGACCCAGTCTACATTGAGAGGTACAAAAGACTAAAACCATCTACTTTTATAGGGACATCCTTCTTTAAAGAGGCTAAGTACTGGTTAACTGAGATAGAGAAGGTTTTTATGATTCTTTGGGTAGTTCTCGAACAGAGAGTTATACTCGCCACCTATATGCTGGTGGGAGAAGTAGGTCGCTGAAGGCAACTCAAGCAGCCCACCCAGCCCGTTCCAATCACTTGAAAACAATTCCTGGTGGCTTCAATGTAAAGTACCTCCCAGAGCATCTCCGACATCTGAAGGAAATGGAGTTTGCACACCTGATCCAGACTGATATGACTATGTTAGAGTATGCCCAAAAATTCTTAGAGTTGAACCGATATTCCCCTAAGAGCATGATGGATAAAGGTAGAAAGGCAAGGAAGTTTAAGTAGGGCCTCCGTCCTGAGATTAGACAGCAACTGTATGTGTTCGAGCTCAATACTTACTCAACCGTTTTGGCCAATGCACAAATAATGGAGAGGAACTTTCGCATTTTTTCTCCAGCAGTAGGGAACCTCAAGGCCCCGGTTTCACACTGCAGACCAGCACCTACTGTACCTGTTCAGC